TGAACCCGCAGGCTCAGGCAATCCACTCACCTCAGCCTCCCAAGGCGTGGGATTACAGGCTGAGCCACCGAGCCCGGCTTGAAAAGCCTTTTAAAGATCAACTTCTAGCTCTCCGTTTTCAAGAACTTGAATCCTGTGCTCATTCTGAAAGGTTCTATTGTTCTGGAAGAGCATGATAGGCACTTAAAGAAACGGGGTACAGTACTGGGATGTGGCGCAAAAAGACAGAACTGTTTAACAGAAAACATGAAAATGAATTGGGCCATATCAAAATCCTCTCAGGGCGGGAGCAGTAGCTCATGCCTGTGATCCCATCACTTTGGGAGACTGAGGTAGGAGGAACACTTGAAGCCAGGAGTTCAAAACCAGCCTGGGCAACACAGAGAGATCCCCGTCTCTATTAAAAAAAGAAGAAAGAAAAAGATCACAGATAACATCAGGATATACTAATTCTGCATTTTTGGGAAAAGTAGCCCCAAGATAAGTTCCGGAGCAGTCCGGAAGAAAAGGTGGCCCAGGAAAGTTTCCAGATGCCTGGAATACCACCAGGAGGTGGAATGTCATTCTTTACATCGTGCCCCAGACTGTAGGTGACCATGGCGTTGGACTGCCAAGTTCACAGAGGACAAGGAAATGACTTCTTTAGAGCAAGGACCTCTTTACACCCCAAAGTTTGGAACAGATTATGTTCCACTTTTAAGCATGAAAAGGAAAGATAATTTTCCCCTCCAACTAAAAAGATGAAAGTTATCTTCAAAGGCAGAGAAGTCACGAATTTACACAAAGTCAGGTATTGGACACTTTTGGGTATCACAACCAGAGTGCTGATATGCCCAGATGCTGATCATTGCAGAGAGTTGCATCAGTGCAACATGCAGGCTGAACTGCTCATCGGCATCTCATGCCCTATGGAAGCCACGAACCATCTGGGCTGGGGCACTTGGATGAGATACCAGCAGAGCACCACCCTTCTCCTCCGACCCAAGTCCTTACCCCCAAACTACAATTTCAGCACTTCGGTAAGAGGCTGCACGAACCCTGGCAAGCTCTAAGCCTTGAGCTTAGAGGGGATACATACCCAGGTGGTGGGAGACCTTGGCGGGGTGGCTGCAGCTGGTCACGCCAGGCAGTGGAGTGACTGCAGCCAGAAGAGGTTTTTTTATTCTCTCCCACCTTTCTTTCACTTTCCTTTTTGAGAAAGGCTCTTCTCTTCCTTGTTTACCCACCCCTCAGCTCCTGCCCTGGGCTTTCTTAGAAACTACCCGGATTCTCAGAAAACACTTGAGCCTCTTGACCAACCTTCTCGATGAGACCGTCCAATCAGGGACGGGTTGGCCGGGGCTTTTGAGAATCGAGCTATTAGCTGGCCATTGCATCAGCCATCTCTCACCCCAGGCTGGCCTCACTCATGACCTCCCCACCCTCTTCCCGTCCCCACCCTCAGGAGTCGTGGGCAACGGAAAAGGCGAACTGTAGATTCCCTGCAGCTGCCGTCCGTGGAGACGGCACAGCCAGGGGGGAAAGGTCATGAGTTCTGGGATCAGAGACACCGGGGTTTCAATCCCCGCGTGGGGATTCTCTTGCTTGGAAACCTTGGGCAAGGCTCACCACTCCCCTGCGCCTCCCTCGGCTCGCACGCCTGTGAAATGGGCACAGAGAAGCCTCCTCGCGTCAGCGTTGAGGGGACTAAGGGCGCCCGCAGGCAACGCCTCTAGCACATGGCACGTAGTTGGGGTCTTTCTCCTCGGAAAGGGGGGGCCGGGGAGACGACGAAGGGGCGGTGCCGGCGGCTGGGGGACACGGGCGTGGGGGCCCCGGCAGCTCCCGCGCCCCTCGCGGTGCCAGGACGCGGCGGGCAGCG